GGGCTCGGGGCTAACATGATGACCATATGCATTACTGACTTCATTTTTTAACCCGCATGTTTATATTCTAATGAGGTCCTCTTAAGCTGTGGAAAATAATTTGTTTGGATGTATAAATGCAACTTTCTTTGAAGACAGTAGAATTTGGATCATGTTTATAATTCCATGAACTCACTAGGATTGTTGTTATATATCCAACATAAGTTTACACATGCAATTCCATTGCCCCCAGTGAATATGAAAACTACAACCTGAATCAGAGGTTATTTAGACCTAAAATTGTTGTGTTGTTTTTTTAATCAGAAAGCAATTACTTAAAATTAAGACGCTCTTTTCAGATTTTGACAACTTAACAAGATGTCATTTCTCTGTTAAAAAAATATTTTCAAAAATTAGGCTTTTATTTTAGAAATGCTTTTTCAATAGCAATGATGATTAAAACTATCAATAGTAGATAGGACCCTATAAATATACTAGCTAATTATTTTTTCTTGCCAACATATGAGATGTAGTGACTATTGGTTAGAGTGTAGAAGTTTTTAAAAACAGTACATATCCTAAATATTAATCTCGATACTATCAAATTTTAAAATGTAGTAACTAAACTGAAATACACAAACACAGGAAAGGAATTTACTAACTTATTAGATATGACATATACTGTGGGGTAAATATTCATTGGCATACATTAAGACACTAACACATCTTTAAGAAATAAAAACCTCAACAGCCCCCATGATAAGGAGAAGTTATAGTGTTTAAAAACAAAAACAACGAAAAGGCCAGTTATACCTAGAAACCACAAGCTGACAAGTCTTTGCAGGCTGTTCAGTCTCCCTTTGATGCTGTTCATTGAACCAGAATGGGCAGCGTGGAGCACTGAAAGGTAACTAAGATAGGCAGGTTAGTTTGCCCTACCTGATAGCCAGTGGGGATAGCTGAACACATCCCTCAGCCCTGTGAGGAAATGGTGCGAGATCTAGAGGAGGAGGATCAAGAATCTGTGTGGCATCAACAGTAGCAAAGTGGCACCTGGAACTTCAAGGAAGCAAGGGTAAGGAAAGCAAAGCCAAAGGGTTAAGCACCCAACTGCACCTCTGCTGATTAGGGGCACACACCCCTTTGGCTGGCTGTAAAATGGACTTAGTGTTTATAGGCATAAAAAGCAAATTAATAATA